ACATGTTCATCCAGACCTTACGTAGCACATAAAATAAGAACACTCAGCCTGCTCCGTTCACATCAACTAAAGTCTCCCAATAATTTCTGAGTTTTTTATTTTCTGGACAAGATATCGAAGACTGATTTTATAACGATAATAACTGTGTTTGAACCACAACCCTTAAAAGAAACATCCATATAATGTATCACGTCTGATACTCAATCTACATAATCATACATAATATCAACATTATCTTTAAAAATGGTTTATTAAAATATATATTATTAGTACATTGTTAACAGGGCTTATGAATATATTGACTGCCTGGCAAAATGGACCTAAAAAGAATCTGTTATTGCGGGGTTCTAAAATATTTGTCATACTATCTCCTTTCATATTTCGGTGTTATGTTCTATTTTACACGAGTTTTCTTTATCAACACACCGCCTCAGTTGATCCACAACAGGAATGTGATGGTTACTAGTTATTTGTTCAATATCTGGATCTTCTTACAGTGATCTCTACTAATATTCCGCTTGAGATTAAGATGAAGAGCAAGAAGCAATAAATAGAAAACCAGCATTAGCCTGATCATAAAATATATTATATGTCATCTATTGATTGACATCTATCATAGTATCTATAAGACGAAGTCATATCAGTATTATTCAAAATTAGAAGACAGACTAGCAAATTAACATTTTTCATACATGACATTGGAACTGGCTGGTTTAAATATCAGTCAGGCATTCCAACTCCCATCGGATGCTGGTTGACACTTTGTTGGTACAGAGAATAGCATGAAAATTGAACATAGGGAACGATGAGAAAAAATGAAAAGAACATCCTGGCCGATGTAAAATCATCCTCCTAACACCAGATTGGAACCAAAATACTGTCATATTTCCTGAGATTTGTGTCTTTGATAAAAGTGCTCCCATCACACACACTAAGATGTTCTCGTCTAGAAGATAAACCTTAGTTGTTCAGTTGCATGTGCCAGAGACTAAAGTAGGCACATGTACTGTCACGTTATTCAGGAGGAGGCCAGGAAAGACCATATTGAACCATAAGAAACACCAGACTTGTGAGTAATGCTCGACCAGGTGTATTGAGTTTAGAATCTGCACGTTGTTTTCACGATTTTAGGTGTGTGGATCGCGCTGAGAGGAAATCTATTTATTGTCTGCTTTTTGAATAGTTAATGGATATAAAGACTAATTTTCGTATTTTACTTTATCTTAAAAGGTATCAATTTTTGAATTCGTGTTTCATCCGCATACTATATAATAGTTTTCCGTCCTTCAAAAGTCATACACATGCCAACAAAGGAGTTGAATAGGGTAAGTTTAGTGGTGAGGAGAAAGGAGGAGAGAAAGACTACTAATATAATAAGAGAGAGAAAAATAATAAGGAGTAAAGTACTTAAGAGCGTAGTTAAAAAGCTGTAAGATGAGATTAAAGAACGTGGAAGATATGATGATTTAAGAGGAGAATAAAAAGCAGAAATACTATTCAGCGCCCGTTAAAGAAGTTCACCGTTGGATTTAAGTAAAGTAGGAGTTATTTCTCAATACAGAGGCAGGAAGTCTATTGGCGTATGGTTGTTCAAAGAATGGTGAACTGGATCCTTGGCCCTCGCCCCTGTCTCTGGGGAGATAAATTGTGACGGTCTCTGAAGCATACCTTCGAGTTCGTTCCAATAGAGAAAGTCACAATAACAAGATTTGATGAAGATGAACATTAGTGTAGAATTTAAGTAAATGGTTAGAGTTGTATCGTGAATAGCAAAACTTGTTTCCTTTAATAGATTCTCAATCTGGGACGATGGTATAGTCTCATGAGTTCTTTGAAAAAGTTTCCCATTGCATTCTAAACTCTCAGACCTCTGGCACAGCGGTTAAACGGAATGGATATATAAATGAATCGAGTCACCAACGCATCTCATATTTAAGGTCAAGAACTTAGATCGCTTATATTCTAGCACTTAAACCCACACACTTTGCGGCAGCTCCTAAATGCTTATAAGGTAGGGCTTCACGTTCACGCGACCAGACATGCGTCCGCTTGTGTGCCAGATGATCAGTGATGGCACTTGTACACTGATCCCGTGAACTTTTGGTCCTCTCCTGTGCTTGTATCCGCATGCTGATGGTCACTCTTGAAACATCTTCTCTCACACATCCCACAAACAGGAGGCGGCGAACAGCATGCAGATCTTTTTCAAGTACTGTCATTCTCACATATATACGCTTCCTTTCTCACGCTATCCATTTGCGCGGTCCTGCGCGTCTGCTCCTCGTCTCCCCGATCTTGTCACTGGGGCCGCGTTGCCCTCCCTGCCTGCACACTCCACGGGCTGTTCCTTGCTCACCACTGATGTTGTATTCTCGTTGCCGTGCTCCCCATATGTTTTTTATCCACACGTGATCTGTTTTCGTTCACCCTGCGCTGGGCGTTGTGAGCACGTGACGCCGTCGTGTGTGTGTGCCTGTGTGTCTCCCGTGCTTTGGCTTCCACTTCTCCCCATCTGCCTTTCTCTCTCTCCATCACCCTCTCCCCCTTTTCATTTCCCGGCCGTCCGCGCGCCCTCACCTTATTTT